AACACTGATTTTTAAGCCGTATTCATACACTTCAAACAGTTCGACGACTAAACTTTTCAAACTGGGCTAATGGCCCGGGAATCCATGGAAATACTTGCTGCTCTCTAAATGTCTGGTAAGTACTACGTGCATACTGTCACACTCCGTGAACTACTACTACCGAGTCCTTGCTTCGTAAGATCCACTCACTAACAGAATATACGTATTGGTCCCTGAAGGACACTCTCGATGGGTCTGAGTCTGGATTATCCCCGAGTCTCCCAGGTTTCTAATGCCCGCCTCCAGGCCCAGACTTGGTCGCCCTTCTGGAGTCTTCCTATCTACCTGTTGCCTCACATTTCCAGAGTGACCTCAAACCGAAGATCACTTCAGAGACCTTGATATTGGTAAGTTCTAGAAATGTCACCATCCCAGAGGCCATTAAACCCAATCTTTCTGTGAGCCCAATCTTTCTACCTAGTCCTTGTTCCCCCAAAAATGTCATCGTTGTTTGTAGTATCTTGTTTATTGTTTCAGAAATTTTAAATGCCTAAACAAAGTTATACAAATGTTTTCTTTTTTTTCTTCACAGATTGTAGCATTTTATCCACATTTCTTCTGTCCATTTTAATTTTTTTTTTACCTAGAACATATTTTTGTGATCTTTCCATATCAAAACAGAAAAGTTATTTATTCTCTTTTAAATATGTATAGTATTCAATTATATGGTATTTACCGTAGTTTAATATGCAGTTACTTTAGTTTTCAATCTTGCTATTGCAAATACTATTCATATCTATGAACATACACTACATCCCCTCTGTGCCACGATACCTTGCACACATCTTACACTCATGTGGAAAAGTTGCATCCAAGAATATGCTCATTGGATGGACATTATGTGACTGTGCTTCAGGGGACTGACTCCAGTGGGGCTTTTTGTTTGTTTGCATGTTTGTCTTAACGATATTGAGCACAAATAGGATCCTGGCCAGATTCCTACACCTCCTTCTTCCTGAATTCCCTAGTACAGGCATGAGGCAAAACTAAACAATCTATGAAATGTAGAGGAATTCACACTGGGGCATGCTAGATTTTGGAATATTGCTTTTGGGGTGCAGTTCATGGTGTTTGGCAAAGGGAATGTGGTAGAATTGGGTGGGAGAAGGAAGGGGCAATGGAGAGCAGGGAGAAGGAGCCAGCAGTAGCTTTCTTTTGTGCACCTCAGAACAACATGGACAAAAACAACTGAGGGCAGGGGAGCTAAGATGTGTCAGTCTGTGTGGAGATTGAGACTGAGCTGCAGAGTGGTGCAGGGGTGGGTGAGTAGTAGGAGATGAGGCCAGAAGACGGGAGAACATGTATCTGATGTAGGACCCTCTGGTAGATACAATCTCTAAATCTGTATACTTTACTTGATGGTAAAGGGGGTGGGGCACTAAAAGCAATTAACAGGCATTAATTGATCTACATGATGTTGAAACTAAGAAGTATGATCACTATTTATAGGTCAAGTTAAGGATTTTTTACTTGATTCTACCAACAATGGGAATTCATGGAAGAATTTTAGGCGTAGAAGTCACATAAACAGGTTCATATTTTAAAAATATCTCTTTAACTTCATGTACTATACAGAAAGGCCCAGTTCCAGGCACTTGAAAGGCATCAGGGAACTGTAGGAACAACACATTGCTAGCTACCACCACCAGCAAAATACCTGCTTTCATAGAGGGTGGAAATAGATATAAACATAATAAAAATGTGAATTATAAAATATATAAGGAAGTGTTACCTGCGATTGAAAAATAGAGATAGATAGGGAGGATTGGAGTGATAGAAGTAGGCTGGAATTCTAAATAGAGTTGTTAGTCTAGGCTTAATGAAGATTGTGGTACAATATTTGACTGGAAGAAGGTGAGCCATCAGGCTATCTGACATGTGAAGTATTACAGGCAGAATGTAACCAGTATAAAATGCCAAAGGTAAGTATTTCCATGTGATGTTTGAGGAATAGCAAGAGATTCAAGTTGTCAGAGCACAATTGAGGGAGAGAGTAATAGAGAAGAGATCAGAAAGAAATGGAGGATCAGAGTGTGCACAACCTTGTAGGAGGTCTTAGGAATTTCACTTTACTTCAAGTAAAATGGGGGACTATTGTATAATTCTGATTTTAGGAGAAACAAATCTGACTTATGCTTTGAAATAATGTCTTTGGACATTATTTGTAGAAATAGAGCTGGTAGCTCTTTGTAAATAGACCATAGGGGATTGTGTTAGGTTGCATTCTATGGGAAACAGACTCCGGGATATAGTTTTCATGAAGGAAGTTCACTGGGAAGTGCTTCCAGGAAGAATACACACAAGGAATTCAGAGGGTAGAGAGAAAATATGAACTGTAATATAGTTGCCACAGAGGACTCAGCCACTCCCATGGGGAGCTCTAGAGCTGCCATGACCCTTTAAAATTATTCCAAATTGAGGCAAAGGAGCTGGGTCACTCTATCCATTCCTGGACTGGTCTTTAGATGTAGACTGTTTACAGAGAGAGAGTGTAACCTTAGATTAAGTAGCTTCCTTTAGCTTAGAGCAATTCCTGGGAAGAACTCAGCTCTGAGCTATCAGCAAACAGCACTCCAGGCTGCTGGTGTCCAAGTATCTTGCTTCATGGAACATTAGGCAAGGAAAAACACTATTCGGTTGTAAATAGAACACTGTCGTATTCTCTTCTGTCCACCATTTGTACTACTCAGAGCCACTTTCTTCATATAACAAATTCATCCCACCTGGGAATAACTTCTCTAGCATTCTGGTTGATATCTTTTCCTGGGTAAACTAACAAGAGGAAGTGACTGCTTGGTCTCCTCCAGAAAGGCATCATAGACTCAGCATTGGTCTGTACTATTGGCAGGTTCAACATTTGGCAGTAGCAGTAGCTAGATCAACTTTGGTAAGTGAACTCCCTCCTTATTGGGCCTATGCATAATGTCACCATTCCTGTCACCAGGCTACTTCATTCATGTGACCAACTTGCCAGCACTGGAGTGGCTAATTACTAAGGAAGGCTGACAAAAACTGGCAAAATCGTTCTGGTTACTGAGGTGTTTAGTACTTCTGTGGTGGATGCAATCTGGGGAATGTTAACATGTGATACAAAGGTCTTTGCACTTCGTGCCCACTCCTGCCTCACATTTGCTTCCCAATCTTTTTCCTTTTAGGTCTCTGACCAACCAGCCAAACCATTAGTTGCTGAGCTTGAGTTTATGTGTATTCTGACATCCACACCAAGGGGATGACCCCAGGTCCACTGTCCAAAGCTCTGACCATTGGAAGGATTCCCCGCTTCACTGCTGTTTTTTTGAGATATTACAGGATGGGATGTAGTGCAAAAGCATCCCCTGTTCATCAAGCAGCTTATCCTAAGTGAAGATTTGGGTGTTACTTTGTCCAGCCATCTGGAAACAATGAGAGTCACCAGCACAGGACAGGTCACATTTACTTCCTTTTTCTTGCCTAGGGAAGGGAGAGAACTAGATGCCAAAGGACCAAAAGGCCATAACATTTCCTTTCCTATTGGAGAATTGAAATTTTTTTAGGCAAAACATTGATTTGGATAGCTTTTCTCACATTGGTAGCCTAGTAGAACTGTGTTAGAGAGATTCATTCAAGGATGTATTCAACACTCCCAATTGAGGCATTTTTTAGGCTTGAAAACAAAAGACAGAGTTGTATTTAGGATTAAGAGGCAGAACAATAAACAAATACCCTGAATCATGTTTTCTAAAGTTTTAAGTTGATTCACTTTCTTACTAAGTCCTGGCTCAAGCACAAACAGAAGGGATTTTTTTGTTAAGTTGAAAAAGCTAAATATGAGTTACTTAATGTGAGCTTTGAACCTACATGAAAACACACCTTTATTATTCAGCCATTTGAAAAGCCATCTCATGCATAGTTCAGGATCTTGGGTAAAATATGAGAAAAACACACCAAGCCAAGAATCATTAAACTTTTTCCCCTCTCCTTCTGCATCTCTAAAAAAAAAAAAAAAACAATCCAGCAAACTGTTCCACATATCTAGAGACAGCAGGCTCCATCCACCCACAGGGACTGACCTTGGTTTGAGCACTATGATCTCTGAGCTGACGCTGAGTCCCAGGAAAATGTCTGGTAAGAACATCTGCCAGTCTAGATTCCTTTTGAGCCCGCACCCCCCCACCCCCCCACCCCCCACACATGCATGCAGGGAAACACTCACCCCACCCCAATTCCATCTAGAGCCTCTTGAATCTAAGTGGAACTTTGCGGTGATCCCACGGAAGCAAGGCTCCCAGCAACAAGTGAGTGATCATAGCCCAGCCTAGACCTGGAAGTTTGGGTGTGGCCCAGTGCACCAGCAACTCTGGCTTTTTGCAAAGGCGCCACTTGACATTGACCCTGCAGTATAAATGCCTCTGAGAGGAAAGATCATTCAACAAAGGTGGCTGCAAACCGAGTCCCTGAGATCTTCGTGGGAACCAGGTGGTGGGGGCATCGAGGGAACCGGTCTTCACGACAAGCAGGTTATGTAGTAGCCTTTGCCTCATTGGGATTGCCCTGAAGAATCTTATTTTATCTATCTCCCCACCCCGGAGTATCCCCATACTTCTCTCTCCTCTTCTTCCCCAAAAGCCATCTGATACCTGAAAATGTTTGTCTGGAAATGAATTGCTGGAGACTGGTGATGTCCACCCGAGTGGCCGCCGACTCTCGGTTTTGAAGTAGGGACATTTTCCTTGCAGAAGTCCCAAAGGGACTCTCTTTGAGGAAAGCCCACTTACGATTGCGAATAGAGACCCCTGTAGCCCCCATGAGGGAATCTTACTCACACTACAGCTGCTGGCAATATGCAGCCGCAAACCTAGCAGAACAACCTTATCTTCTTGAGCACCCTAAGTCGGAGGAAGCTGGAAGCATCTTGTGATGGTGCAATTCTAGAGACGTCTGTAAACAAGCTCAAATAAGTGATGCTCAAAATTGCAGAAGATTGTTCCTGCTTGGCTTCGAGCCAGGGACCTTTTGCGTGGGAGGCGAATGTGATAACCACTCCACTACAGAAACCTACACCCATCTTACCAGCTCTCCTCGAGAGGAGAAGAAAAATTTTCTGTCTATGCCAACTTCAGTAACGTTGAATTGATCTTTTCTTTCAGGAAATTATCAATATTAATGTGCTTTTCTATTTATTAAAATCAATAATATCGGAGTCTACAAGTCACACCAAAAATATGCTTTGGGGAAAAATTCCTTTTCAAATAGTGCAGAAATTTTAGGAAGCCTCGAGATAGGGTACCTTTCAAAAAAGTTCTTCATTTTGTCCTATTCTAGTTTATCTGAACGTAGAAGTCTCTGTGATCTCCATCTCTTGGGAGCCAGAAAATGATCCCCAGAAAATAACCGGAAATTGGTAGACTGAACTCTAGGAAACTGCCCTCCCTTTGTCCCGGGCAGTGTTTGACAGAAACTGAGGGACAGGGAGCCGGATGTACCCAGTTGTCTGCCAGGCAGGGTGAGGACTGGGAATGAGGAAGGGAGGGTCGGGCTTTGTATGATTGGGCTAAGTGTCTAGAGCATCGAAAGAACCCAACGACCCACCGATGTGGAATGTGCATGCTCAGTTTCTGATGTCCGTTATTGTTTTACAGCACGGGAGGACCACTGGGATAAAGAAAGGCAGACCGCGACTCACCGGGGTCTTGCCTGCTGCCTGTGGAATGGCAACTGGAATCATATTTTCAGACCTCATCTGTGTCCAGAACCCGGATTCAGGGGAAGGCAGCGATTCGCACAAAGGCGATTTGAGGTCCCGATTTGAGGTCGGGAAAGCTGAGGCCAAAAGGCGGGAAGGCTACTGAATGTATCCAAGCCTGGCCCTGGGCACGGAGGGCAAGGGAGATTGGAAGACTCTCAGGGCATCATCGCAAAGAATATGAGACCCTTCGGAAATCCTTATGATACAAAATTGCATCTCCAAGTTGGGTGGTGCCTGTTCATCCAAGACTGAAAAGAGAAACAAGCATCACACCCAGATTGTGTAGATTCCAAGAACCAGACCTGTGTGCCTTGTGATTCATTTGCATAATTCTTATTTGCTTACAATTGTATAGTAAAGTGACAACAAAAAAGAGAAAATTTTCTCTCTTGAATACTACATATATTATGCCAAGATTGTGCTGCCCTTAACAGTTTCACATTTGTGTGGGAGTGTTATTTTTATAAATTAGTGAATTTTTTAATGAAAGCTTGTGGTCAGGACCACTTCTCACATCTCCACCTAAAATTTATTTTCTTTACATATTTATACTGGAGAGCAATGAATGGTGTGTGTGGATCAGTAAATTAACATCTACATTCTTTCTGAATTTACATTAGAAAAATAACTTGCATGTTTTTAGTCTGTTCTCTATTGCTTATAACAGAATATCTGAAACTGAGTAATTAATAAAGAAAAGGAATTTATTTCTTAGTTACAGAGGCTGAAAAGTCCCATGTTGAGAGGCCACAACTAGCTGGTGTCCCCAGGTGGTGCAGGGAATGGGGGAAGGTAGGGGGAGCAGGAGGAAAGGACTGAGAACTCAGTCTTTCTTCCTCTTCTTACATAAGCCACCAATTCCACTCCCAGGATAACCCATTAATCCATTAATCAATGAATGGATTAATCCGTTCTTGAGGATTCTGCCCTCCATCATCCAACTACCTCTTAAAGGCCCTACTTCTCAATACTGCAACATTGGGAATTAACTTCAACATGAGTTTTGGAGGGGACAAACTGTAGCAACCTCGAACATACTTTTAAATAAATGATAATTTTTTGTCATCACCCTCTGACAGAAATCACGTTCTGACCGTCAACTGGGCACAACTCACCCCCTACCTCCACTCAGTAGTGTCTTCTAGACAAGCATTGACTTCACAGAAATTTAGGTGGACTCCAGATCTCAGTATCTGGGGACCTTCTGGCTCCTCAAGATCAGGAAGAGAGATGGAAATCAAAGCCATAGCATAACATCAAAGAGTTCCTTGAAATCAAATCACCTCAGAGCTTAAGGTTACCCTGCCTTGCACTGGGGAAGAAATTTGAACACTAGTTGTAAGTTGTATTTGCTTATGAGTAATGGAGTTTCTATATTATTAATTTTAAGAGATAGAAAGTATGAGGGAAAGAATTATACTGTGTGTAAAAATATACTAAAAAGAAAAACATATTAAAAGTTATTAGGTTCGAATATATCCAAAAATTACCATGTCATTTTGCTTTGAATTGCCTGATTACAGTAGGGAGTTTTTGTACTGTAGTGGTTAGGCTTCTGCCTGCCTTTGCCTAGCATGCCAGGGGGCTCTGGTTTAAAACAGGTGGAAACAACGGGTTTTCAAAAAAAATTTGTCTCACCAACACCTTTTTCCAGTCCGAGGCTGGTGTTTTTCTCTCTCAATAGTCTTTTGACGAAATTAATGTTTAATTTTGACAAAGTCCAACATTTCAATCGTTTTTTTTAATGCTTAGTGCTTGTTATGTCCAGTCTACACAGTAGTTGTCTATGTCAAAGGTAAGTACTTTTTCTAAATTTTCTTCAACAGTTTGTTTTCACTTTCACTTTAGGCGTAGGAGCAAACGATTTGAACAGGCACTTCAGGGAAAACAATCAAATAGACACTAAGCAACTGACAATCAAAACAAACAATAACAAAAAAAAAAAGAAAGAAAAGAAAAAAAAGGACAAACAAACGAAAAATGAGGAAATGAGGGGCAACGCTACCAGGTGTTATCCATCTATGGCAAACCCTTTTTTTCCCCTTGCCA